ATCGACGCAGTATTTCTTTAAGCTTCGCAGGATAAGTCGTAAAAATTAATATCCGTTGTCCGCTGTGTAATGTTGTCGGTTTGTATTCGGTAATTGGAAATACCTTTTTTCGAAAAAAAAATCGAATATTAATCTTCATCTTCAAGATAAAAAAAATAAACTGGCAATGATTACATTTTTGAGCCATTAAGTATCAACACCTGCAAGACCTTACCAACTATTCATTCTGTGCTAAAAATATACTGAGGCATAACTTGACAAGATAAATTTGGCGTTGTCCGAGACTGGACTATGGGATTTTACAACTGACATTGTTCTGTTTTGTGTAAGTAAGTAACTTCCATCTATGTTAGGCAGCGCAGCAAAAGTCCGCCTTGGAAAAGTGAGCGAACACGCAGTTCCTGCTCTTCCTTGGGCCTTCAGTGAAACTTTCGAATCACGCGGGCTAAGATGAAAATGAAGGCAATCTCATCGTCGTCATCAAAATTAACCTTGAAGACTGCATCTAGCTTTTTAAGCTGAAACGTGACAAGCGAATGTCATTCTATTTAAAAACTCATTTGACACGCGTAGGCCCATTTCATTTTGAAATTAATGCGACTCATGGAAGCTTTGCAAATTAGACATGTCCCTGCATTCTTTTCGCACTCCACTACCCGCATGGTTTGTGAGGCCATGCGCAAGTGACAGTTTCCGTAAAATACATGCCTTCTCACTTGGCAAAAGAGTCGAAGCTGTCCGAGCAATTCGCGGATTCAGATTCTTTACCATAAGCAAAGTAAGGCCCTACTAGGTAGTGGTTAAATAAGTTAGAAAATAGCTGCTGTAAGATACGCCACTCCTGGAGACCGTACTCAACTATATCGCAAAGGACAAACTAAAATTGAGCTCTCTCTCGTCTTAAAATGCTTTTATTGCAGAAGTAATTGTTTAAGATTTCTCTAAAACATTACTAAAATTACTTCACTCTTGTGCTTATTATCAACTATATTAACAAAACCCTTCAATTTACAAAGTTTCGTCTTCATTTGCTGTCAGTGATCGCTTTAAATACTTTATATTTTAACATATTTCCCTCTCCAATTGTCATTAATCAAAGCTTTACGAATTTAGCTTTTGAACAGACTACCCATAACTAGAAACTGAATGATTCTGATTTCACCAATTTCTCATTCATTTCTCATCCAACAACAGCAAATACATAACCGAGATCTTGTAATAGGATTAAATATTTATATACCAAAAGTAGAAAATAATATCTGCGTGTTGAAGCATCTTAAAATTGTTAGCGATATTGTTTGTACATAACAGGCAGCGCTGTTAGAGCATTTCATTTTTTTCTTACAACAATAGATGACCAAACGTAGAAAGTGTTCAAACAAGAATTAATACCTATATGCTGAGTCATCCCTTCACTGACGTAAACACAAGGCCCATTTAGCAAAATATCTCTTGTAAAGCTTAATGTGAACCGTATTCACAGTCATTAATAGGGACCTTGGGGACTTGAAGCAAACCACAACGGTTACGGCAACGAGATCGTGGAAAAACAATAGATCTAACTGGCAGAACAATAGCCCAGCACGTGCGTTTTAAAACTTTGTACATTTCCTAGCCGTCCTTTGCAAAACAACAAAACCGCGGCGGCAAATTACTTTAATTTACATTTAGAACTCAACGCTACTTTTATGCGTTATGTTGAGTTTGAGGTCTGGCGCCCTATGAGACGGTAAACACATGCAGCCATTTTCGAAATTCTAACTAAAAGTAGAAACTCATTTTTTAATCGACGTCTTCCGTGGCGTTGCCGTCCTGACTGCTTAAAGTCCCTCTTAAGCAGCCACGACGGTAACATCGAGGATGAGGTCGATCAAAAAAACAAAAAAAAATCAATTCATATTTCAAGCTAGAATTTCTCAAATGGCTGCATTAGTGTACTGTCTCGTACGGCTCCACACCTCAACTTTAGCAAAACGTATGTGAGCAGCGTTGAGTTCCAAATGGAAACTTGAACAATTTGCCGCCGGGGTTTCCGTTCTCAGAACACGCACATATTGGTGATTTCACTTTGATGTTTTACAGAGGACAGCTAAGAAATGTACAACATCTTAAAACGCACGAGCTGAGCTATTGTTCTGCCTATTATACCTTTTGTTTTGCCATGTCCTCGTTGCCGTCGCCGTTCTGGTTTGCCGCAGATAACTAATATCTCTCGAAAACGATGCGAAAAAGAGGCTAAGCAAAGAAAACAGAAATATTTTATAACAAATTTGCAAGACTTGTGGGAAAAAGAAGAAAAAATAGCAACCCAAGTCGTTAAATAAATATAAACAAAGCACATTGCTAAGATTCCCAGCAAGTATCTCTTGGAAAGTTTGGAAGAACCCTTCACCAATCGTAAGACGATCTGACAGAGTCTGGTTCCCAGGCTCTCCCACTAAGAAGAAAAGGTTTTGTGTGCTTTGCATTTAATTTAAAATTCCTAGAGAGGTTCGACCACAGCAACTAAACCTTTACCTCAAAAGTACCAAAACGAGTCTACTCTTTTGTGGCCATAATGGTGAGTAATATTCAAATTATCATTATATCAGTGACTTCATTTCCATGATACAGTGTTTTGTCTCTATGTGACTTTCGTTCACCCAACATGAAACTCCAGCTATTTCTTCTGTGCCTGTTTCGAGTATTTGAGCTGAAGAATGTCGCCTACTTCATCGATAGCTTCCAGAGCCTGATTAAAAAAAAAAAAAATACAGAAAGGACTACACTTAACACTGTGTGGGAATTCGTTTTATCCACGTTAAGTAAAACAACTAAAAAATCCATTTTTTGAATTGAGGAATAATGAGACAATTCTTAGTTAGAATTTCTTAACGGCAACTTTAACATAAAGTATATAAGCAGCGTTGTGTTGCAAATGAAATTTTACAAAATTTGCCGTCACAGTTTCAGTTCGCAGACGACGCAAATTTTGGTGATTTTGCGTTGCGGTCTCGCAGAAGACGGCTGAGAAATGTAACCAAGAACGCTATTGTTCTACCTATTACGTCTTTTGTTTTGCACGTCCCCGATGCCGTCGCCGTTGTGGTTTTCTTAGGGTCCCTAATAATAATAACGAGAGCGTCTGTCCCGGAAGATTTAATCCAATTTTTTTTCAAGGGGGGGGGGGTTGTTTAGTTTTCTTTCTCTCCCTAGAAGGATGTCCTCCCTGGGAAGTGTTGACTTCTACATCCTTTTTTTTTTCCCTGACACAGACTAAATTGCTTAGTTCTCGATTATCGAGGGTAGGTAAGGACTGTTTGAATTCTACAGCGGTGTTTTTAAATACCCAGCATTCCCAAGTAACAGAGTACCTCTTTAAAAATTCGGTGCCGCAGTAACAGTAGCTTTCACCCACCTTATCCAGCGGTTCCCGGGTGTGCGCGGCCGACAGACAGAATCTGGTGCGAGACTCAATCAGTGGGGTAGCAGGGAAACCAACCACAACCACAGCTACGTTCCTTTTTAGCATTTCACGGCCAAATGCTCTTTAAAAAAAAGAGAGAAAGAAAAGCAACGACTTAAAAACACATATATATATTTTTTTCAACATACCCTCTAAAAGAAAATCGGGAAGGGACGTCTGTGATTTGCCGTTAATAATCGTGTTCCGGAGAAATTATTCCTAATTTTTTAAAATGTGATTTCCTTTTGGAGGGTAGGGTGCTTGTGTACACGGGCTGATTCAACATAGCTGTGCAAAGAAAACTGTAACTCTCACCCACAGCCACAATCAACAAGGCGCGGTGAAGCACACAGAAAGGTGAAACCAACACCATACCTCGTACACAAAGTTTCAGGTACAAGTGGCGCGCAGTGCAAGCGTCTTATTCGGATGAGTCAGCGCTACAAGCTCGAGATCGTTTATCCAGACGGCCATGTTTGATTTAGGGTTACATTGTACAGGAACAGGTGATTCTCCCGACCCCATCTCTCTCCTTCCTTTTGACTGTCACCCACCCCCTTGGTGCACATTTTTTTTTTCTCTCCCCAGCCTGTCGCTGCTGTAAAAATCAATGCTGTAAAAGTCAATGCATGTAAATTTCACCAAGAAGACACTAAGCCCTGGTCGCCAAAAATCACACCTTTTCTGAAGTTAAAGTTTCGGATTTCAACTCTGTGTTGTGAAACTGAACAAACAACAACCTGCAATGTAGTTGTTAAATAATTCACAATGATTTGTTACAATTCGACGTAACATTCCTGAGTTTTCACTTACGCGATTTTTGCTGGCATGTAGAGAAGAAGAGGGACAACTGGGGAGGCATCATGACCGTACACTATAAATCCCATCTGCTTGAGTCTCTGTCTGAAGTACCTGAACAGTAATGGCTACATGTTAATGAGAGTTCTTTTGCCAAGCTTATAGCAGGGCCAATTGCATGAAAATGATAAAACACAACAAAACAATTTGTGTAGTGTTGATCATTGAATTATCCTAGTCCAGATCCGAATATAAATGAGCTACAGTGTATCTGTTACCCCAGGTTCCCCACCCTATCACAGCTGGAGACTTTCAACATTCCACTCAGTATAAGTTAGTGTACAGTAGTCCACAAAGTACTACAATCTAACCAACGATATCAGACTTTTTCTTACTTGCAATTTTCAGCCAATTGAAAGAGTCTTTTCTTTCCTATAAAATAAAAACAGACAATAAGATTAAAAAGTTATGTGTGTTGTAAAAGTTTTAACTACTGCCATTCTGGCTGTCGGCAGCACATCTGAAAGCAACGCTGGAACCGACTGGAGAACAAATCCTTATGAGGGATATTTCTTTTGACCCTATTTACACTGAATGCCAAGCTCTTTTCTCTCGTAAATCACATTATCATTGTACTGTTGGTACACGACATACTTAACAAATGGTAAACACCACAGCGTACACTATTGAATTATGGATGCACGCGGGAGGTTGCTAAGCAGGAAAGAAGCGTAAGAGTTGCGCGAGGCGATAGCGAGTCTAGCTTCTTGAGTGCTTAGCAAACCTCCCAAGTGTATCCATAACTTAGTAGTGTACACTGTGGCGTTTATCATTTGTTTTATAACATAACATTGATACATTGTAGCA